GTTCCAGCTGGTTCGACGCTAAACACCTCTGACATGAGATGAGACGTGCAACATCTGTTTCATATTTCACACTGGGAGCTTCATACATTGTGCTCGTTCACTGCCGTATAGCTTGAATCCACCTACATTTTCCGTATGTTTGTGTTTGTACGACAATGCTTTAACAATGCCACAAAATCTAAACTATTAACCACCTAGCGTGATCTTGAAAAAAACACACCGACATCTGCACACGCGTGTAAGCTTTAAATACACCAGCAGATGAGAGCAGTTTTCATTCCCTCCGTTAATTTCCATGTGAACGTCTAATTCTCCTTAAACTGATAATTAAGTGCAGCTATAATGACAATGGCAATAAGAGAAATAGGCAGGTGTTGAAAGGATGTAGGGGAGCAGAGAAGAGGGCCTGTATCATTAGGGATTAACCTAGCCACAGGCTCTACAAATAGACTGTCTCCACCTATAAGCCGCCAGCGCACAGACAGTTATTTGTATTGCCAGGTTGCTGCTGCAGCAGCTCCAGAGAAGAGAGAAGACAGTTCAAAGAAGCTGAGGCGGATCGGGATTCCTGTGAAACAAAATGCGATGGAACAGGACACATTTGGGGGCCTGGCAACATCAGAAGGCTTTCACAAGCACAGATTTTTTTGTCTGAGACGACTGCACCACCGATTTATGCACCAATTCAATGTATAAGCTTCTATAATATACAGCCTAAGGCATGAACACGACGTGCAGCAGTGCAAACCAAGACCTAGAGTTTTATCTTCAACACTCGACATTAAGGAAGATTTCTTGGATTTCTGTTTTTTTGTATATCTTCACATGCCTAATTAAAGAGCGCCTGTCGGACCAGCAGTCAGAGCCACGCAGCGCTTCCTTCTTCCTCTTTAAGCTTAATTATTATTTTGATAATCGAATGATCGCTTTAAGTTATTTTTCAAGCAAAAATCCCAAATCTTCACAAGTTCTAGCCTTAAAATTGTAAAGATTTTATGTTTTTTCTTTAGTCAACTTAAAATCTTTTTAAGGTTTGTCAGATAAAATAATTGGCCTTTAGGAAACGGTATTTTCTGACATTTTATTGACAAAAAAATGTATATATTGTAAGATTAATTATCTTAATAATGACAATAATCATTAGCTCTGCAAAGCTGAATTTACAGGTGTTTTTGGAATAAGTGGTAAAGTAGATCATTTTGCTGGAGGACAAACATTCTTCATTGAAATCAGAACAGTAAAGCAGATACATACATTATCATGTTACAAGAGCTGAATTGATTAGTTGATTAACAGAAAAGGAATCAGTGACTACAACTTGCAAATAATTTTCTGTATTCAGCTTCCTATGTGTGAGAATTTGCTGCTTTTCTTGGTGTTTCATACATTTATGAATACATATTTTTTTAAGGTTGGTTGGACAACAAAAGCAATCTAAAAGCATCAATTTAGGATCTGGAAACATGTGATGGGCATTTATACAATAAATGATTAATCTATTAAGCAAAAAATATATTACAGAGCAAACAGGGAAACAATGTTTTTGGGAAAACTCTACATTTTGAATTTTATCTTCTCTTTTCATTAATATTCTCCGCATCCATCCACAGCTTCTGAGCTCTCTCTCTGGTGGTCTGACGACTCCTGCCATGCACCGTCACTGTTGTATGTTTGCTGCCGGAGCAACAGTAAGTAAGGTCGGGCCAGTGCACAACATCACAGCCAGTTTAGTGCTTTCTGCTCCTATGGTGGCTGACAAAAACACCACATGGCGCAGTCATTAAAATAACACACATTTGATCTCAGGTGTAAAACAGCAGTAAAATGCCATGATGCACCAGAGTTACTGGGGCTCATTTTTAATTATTTTATATGTTCACGACCTAATGAGTACATTCACAAAAGGAGACAGGAAGGGGAATAGATTAATTATGACTAATGTAACACAGATGAAGCCACTGTTGTTGTGTCAGTACAGTGTGAAACATGGAGCTGAAAAACGGATATTAAATAAACCAGTTATGACTTTAAAAAGTCAACCATTTTGCTTCCCGACACACTTCCTCCATCACTGTCAACTGCTGCCTGAAAAAAGTTGACAAGCTCTTGGTCTTAAAAATGTCCTTGTCCTACTCTCTATCTAAAAATAGTTTATGTGAAGCTTTAAGTTGGGGTTTTGTGGCAACCTGAATTCAACCAAGTTCAGGACATTTGCTCTTTAACTGACAAAATGTGCATAATTTATTCTTAAATTTAGTTTTACGTAGATAAAGAGCTGCTTCTAAAAAAAAAGCTGTTTCATTTTTTCTTTTAAGACATTCAAGTTCATGTGAAAGATTAACTACTTTAATGTGAACTTTATCAATAATGAATAGTGATTTTGCACATTTCCACCAACAAAAGATAAAATAAGTAGGACTTTGTTCTTAGTCTGCACCATGAATCTGTCAATCAGTATCTTGTTGTCCCACGCTGTCTTGTCTTTAAGTGTGTGCACTGCTTCATCAGCGAGTTGGATGCTGTGCTCAGTAAATATGAGCCGTCCGACCACATTAATGCTTAAATAAAACATCCTCAAATGGGCTCATAGCCAGGATGGACAGCAGGCAGTCAAGAATGGTTTGAGGGGTAAAACTGGTGAATTATTTGGTTGAGGCTCTGGACAACTGGCACTACTGATAAAATGCTGCTAAAGTTCTGCTAAAGACTCGTTTATGGGTTTCATTTGTGCTTCAGCAGCTTCGCTTATTTAACTCTTAACAAGCACAGAATTGTTTGTTGTCAGAGTTTAACTCTTCCGTAACCCAAAGGAGTTTGTCGAGCTCAGGCTGGAGATAAAAAGGTCATTTTCAGATTTCAGTGACGCATTTCAAACAGGTTTGCTGTCTTCCTGTACACAGAACAAATACACTAGTTTGGGACAGAAAACAAGAGTACATTTCAAGATCTGTGAAAAAAATCATATAAAGAGAGACAACAACTATTACACCAAATCAATTGGCAACAAGATTCCAGATTCCCAGATTCTGAAACGGCATTTCTGAACCAAAAAAGGTCCAGATAATGTCTCTGTCCATGTGTTTTCTACCTTCATTCATTTAATTTCGTTAGCCTATTCTGTCCACAGTAATTCATGAGTGATTAACCCCTGTAATAACCCTTAAAGCAGGTTAACAGGAGCTAAATCAATCACCAGTAAATCACTGGTAAACCAAACCTCATTTGTTTGGTTTCCTAAACAAAGTCCTCGGGCCTTTAGACCTTCTACATCATGATGTGATGGATTTAATGTTGAACTCTGTGTCTATAAAAGCTTCCTCAAAGTGAGAGTACGTGAAGTATCATCAGTGGGTCATCATTACTGCGGAGTCAACAGCAGGGTGTGAGGTTGGCACTCATGCACGCAGCCTAAAAGCAGACCAGACTAATGACTTCCTTTGTGTTTGTGCAGACAAGAAACAAACACAGCAGCAACCCACAAAAAAAAACATATTATTCTCAATCAACTGTTGATTAAGCTATTGATTATTTCCCCTTATTCAATGTATCTATTAACCTAACATAAAATGACAAATACCCATCACACATAAAGCTAGAAGTACATTTAAAAAGGACCCGTGTGCAGGATTTAATGGCATCTAGCAGTGAGGTTGCAGATTACAACCCCTTTGCCTCACACATCGCGTAGGAGAAACATCAAATCTAGAGCCAGCGTTTGGTTTGTCCATTCTGGGCTACTGTAAAAACGAAAGGATTTTCATGATTACACACTAATGAAAACATACCTGTAAGTATTATATTACATTTGTGCCAATAGATCATTCTAAATCCAGATACTAAAAAAGAAATAATAAGCTGATTAATTGACAATTATCCACTGCAGCCCTGCCCCCATGTGCTCAACTTTCATTATGAAAATGAGAAAAACAAAGCAGGCAAAGGATGAAATGTGAGAAGCTGTAAGTGCATTTGACTATGATTAATCAGGGAAAGCCTATAATAGGCACTGGCAGACAGGGCTATATAGCAAGAGCACATCTGGCTTTTCAAAAGAGAGGCAATGGGGGTGCAGCTAAAAAACCTGTTCATTACAGACTGTGTAGCTGAGCAGCAGCTGGCACAAAGGAGCATGTAAAGATCCACAGATCCCGGACAGGCAGTGGAAATACACTGGGGAAAAGTCTAAAAATAGCCCAAGACTCATCAATCAATAACTGCTAGATATGATCCAAGTTAAATAAAATTAATCAAAAATAAACAGGATTTCAGAGCAGCTGCCAAAGCAATGTAAAAAAAAAAACAAATAAAACAA